CTGGAATCTCCCGTTTCCTCCCACAATGCAATGACATCCTGTCCAGGTTAACTGGAGTCTCTAAATTGCCCTCCTGTTTCCCTTGTACTCTGTGATGAACTGGTGTCCCACCCCACCTTGTGCCCAGTGCATGTTTTAAGCTCCAGCTAACCAGCACACAGTTTGGGAAAATATGCAGTGTCCAACAGGAACTCAATTATACATCTTGAAATTGGTTTAAATGATCTGCTTTCTTTCCTGAAAGCAGCTGTGCATGTCCACCTCAACCGCAGCTCCCTGTAGATCCACTCAGAACTGCAGCAATCCTTCAGGCTAAATTGATAGTCCAGCTGAGGTGGAATTAAAGCCAGAAGCTCAGAATATTCTACATGAAGTATGCACCATATGTACACAGATAAATATGTAAGTTAGAGTGAGGAGTGTGCCAGTGTGCCAGTGTGCGAGCTGGAAAGAAACAAGATGTTAATTCCACACTGAAAAGTAAAACACATAAAGAAAACTTTCAGGCTACGAAGCTTTCTTTAGGTGTGTGGATTTTTTTTACTTTTCACCACTGAATTAAACTCTTAATCTTTGTTCCTTCACTCACACACATACTGTATATAGGCACATATGTCAGAATATATATAGATATATATTCAGTATATATACAGATAAGCGTTCAGGAAGGAAGGTATTCAGGAATGCCTTTATATAAAGGTATAGGGACACACATTCAAATACTGATGATTTAAGAAACTAAGAAAATGTGCTAATTTTTAAGAGCTGTTTTTAATATTTCATTGATGGAATAATAAGGACTAGATCCTAGTACAATAGTACAGGCACTGTGTTCTGAAGAGCCTGACTTGAACTCTGCTTGCTTTCTTTTCTAGTACAGAATCACTCCCAATCTCCAAATTAACACTTGCAAGTGTAAGGAGATGAAGGCATGCGCAGTCTGTCCTTCAATTTCATTTTACATTGCAAGTCTTCAATAACATATCTAACACATTGGGGGAGAAACGAATGCATGAAGGATTAAGTGATTTGGAAAAAGTTCCCACATGGAAAACTAACATCTAACAATCTAACACTGAGACATTGAAGCAAAGCATTACAATAATGAGGAAGCATTGTGTTATTAAATAGAACTATATACAAACACTAATCTTTTTCAAAAGGATTTAAATAAAACACTATTTTCCATTTTCACCATAATAACACCTCCAACTGTAATCTACCTCTTTAACTGTTTAATCGCCAACTGTGTGCATGAAGAAATAAAATGTTTTAAAAAATTCAAATGCAGAATGTGATTTTAGTGTAAGATTTTTTTTAACTTCCTCAAACTTTTAGTTATATGAATATTATTCCACAAATGTACAAAATCCAAAAAAATGTGACAGACAAAGTAATGGCGTTCTGTAATTCCGAGGGCTTTTCTGTGCATTTTTAATAAACTGATTTTTATTCCTAACAGAGCACTGATGAAGAGTTAGCCTCCTCAAACCTGCATCTCTCACACATTGCTCTTGGGCATTCTGTCTGAATAAAATGACATGTTACTTCTGTACTGCTATTTCAACACAGTGTCCTACATTATTTGTGGGAAGGCAAAGGTTTGATTCTGAGATAGCTTTCATTCTTAATTTCAGAAAATTCTCAAGGAAAAAAAAGCTCAGGTTATATTGTGGATGCATAGAACAAATATACCATATTAGTATTATTAATGTAACCTTCATGATTTTGCCCAAAAATGTTGGTCAACATATATTTATCTACAATCTTCTCTTTTCTGAACATATAGTGTATGTTACCTTATATACGTATAAGACTCTACATACTGTATTTATAAGAGGAAACACTGAGATCTTCCATTATAAAGAAAAAACTATCGTTTTTTAATGTAATCTTTCAACAGCTGAAGCCTTGTTTCCTTATTTGGTTGCTAGAAATTAATTGCCCAAATGTCCTAACCATAGCATATATAAACTATTGGTCTATAGCTTTGATTGTACACAATGTTATATATTGCTCTGTATTATTAGCTTTTATGTAATGTTTTTTTCCTCTATAATAAAATGCCAAAAGCTTTATAACATTTTGAAATTTGAAATCACCCATGAGACTGCTCAGTGGAAAAACTGCTAAAGTAATTAAATGCAAATATTTCAAAATGATTGGGTCAAATATGTTAACATAATGTGAGTTATAAGGCCTCCATCGTTCATGTATAGTGAGATCTACAACACCACAGTCTTCTATACAGGAGCAATTTAAACCTTTCCTGTATGCTTCAACATAAAATATTCCTATGGGATCATTCCTTCAAACATCTGGAGATTTTTAAAACACTACAGGTCAATAAGTCAAGGGAGTTATGGAAATGAGGAGACTGAAAAATACAGAAGTATCTGCAAGGCTTATATGAACATAAAACAGCTTAGTAATTTAGCTCACTTATTACCAGTTAGACATCTGTCTCGTAAAGGAAATACTCTACAATGAAATCGGATGGATTACTCAAGGAACCTATGGTCATGAATAAATTTACTTCTGGAAGTTCTGGAGTTCTGGAAACTCCTGCTCTACTCCACTCTTTATTAGTAGAAGGAAGCTCATGTCTAGCTCATTGTTCTTGCCTCAAGAGAACATGCAATAACCTTCTATAAAGGTGTGATATTTTATGTGATATGTTTTTCAATTTTGACACAAGTTAATAATGAAAACATGTACAATATACTTTGCATACTGGCTGCATATAGGCACATTTCAAAACCTTAAACATAATTTTCCAAGCCCTCGTCCCAAAATGTATACTGCTAGCACAGAGCAACATGAAGCATTGAATACCACTACATACAGTATGGAGTACAAAACAAATTCCAGCAAAGGAACAGTTTAGAATACATTTCACAGCTCTTACCACTTTTTCAACCACAGTTTCATGGAGCGAAAAAAAAAAATGCTACAGTCATATCCATGATATATACATTGAGGATTGCTCAAAGGTGCACTAACAGACCTTTTGAAACTAGCACACAGTACAGTATTCCACTTGACAGATATAATAAATAAAGGAATTGGCAGCAGGCTCCACCATTAATCTGCATGCTGTAGCATGATTAGTTCCACGTGTTAATAAGCTGTCTTTTGGACTGACTGTTCATTTTAACACAGAAAGGGGAGAAACAGATCCTGGCCTCCATTCAGCCACAGGGGATGTCATTTTGATTCAGTTAAGATATTTTTCAAAACTGTTTTTTTTTTCCACAATTTTTGGACGAAAGTACTGGCTGTAAAAGAGCAGAATTACTTGGACTTAAAAACCACACAAACCAGCAAAAAAAGAAAAGCCGAACAGAGAATAATTCAATATCATGTTGCGCAGATAAGCCCCTAAAAATAAACAAATACATATTTGCAAATTCAAGTGCAGTCAAGCTGTTACGTGAAATAACCAATAAAAAAATACACATTTGAAAAAATCCAATCAATTCTACAACCAAACACTGATAAAATAAAGTGTAAATAATAATCAAGCCATCCATTTTCACTTTATACTATAATTAAGTGGAGCTGTGGAACACAACCTGCTATTCTCCCACTGCACTACAATAGCAGGTCTCTAAACAACCCAGGAGAACATAGATAACTAATGATCTCTTATGACATTCGCAGGATGTCATCCAGCACAGTCATAATAACAACATAAACATGGCCGAAGGGGCCTTGAAATGTAGACTTGGAATCTCTGATGCATCCCCATTCCCTTTGACTGTGATGCAACTTCCATTAACCTATCGAAACACTCCTGGGGCAAACAGATTTTCAGACTCATTTTTCAGCTCATTACTGCAGACTTGTATAAGTTACAGGTCTGGAGTAAGAAAGAGAAACAGCAATTAAACAGGGATCCGCCTTTATTTAATACTAACTGTAACTGCAGTGGCTGCTCTTTAATCCATCCATGTATTTACTCTTACCTGTGGATTTGTAGCAGGACTATTATCCTAAAGCTCACATTACCAGAAACACAGCTTGTACAAAAAGCTTTTTTCCCCATATTATTGCTCTCACAATCCCCTTTTCTGTTACAGATTTTCAAGACTTCAGTTCTACTTAGGAACATGTGCTGGTTACAGTGATAGGACATTTTGTTAATTTCATTATTTTGACTGAGAGAGAAACACCTTCACTTACACGGGAAGAAATGTTCGGTAAAGTACCTGCAAACAGTTACAATTTCTCAATACATTTTTATGTTTGTGTAACTTTTCTCATACACACAAAAGCAGTGTTTTCTATCCTATAGCTAACCCATTCTGGCAATCCTAAATGTGTGTCAATAGAAGTATGTAGAGTGTAACTAGCAACCTAGCCTACTGTACCTGTGAATGTTATTTATTGTATTTGTATATGAACCGATTTCATATAAAATGATCTGCTCCCTCTAACGTAATATTTATTTTCATATTCGTAAACAATGCCTAAATAAGATAAATAGCGCCACCTTGTATCTGAATACAGAATGGGTAAAATCCTAAATTATCGATGTATTCCTGCACAGACCCAACTGTTTTTAAAATTAAGTTTGGTTCATCAGGCATTGACTTACTGACATCCTTTTTATTAACAGTTGAAACGCATTAAAGAAACACACACACTTCGACAGATTTCCCATCCAAGCGTTTCGATTTTAACGTTTTAATATTTATCATATTAAAAAAACAATATCCTAGTTAAAAAAAAGAATATATAACCGGGTAATGTTTACCTATTTTTGTACATATCCGTCAGATATTTGTTATTGGATGTTTTTATTTATTGTCCTCATTACGTGAACTTCAAAATATCCTGTATTCTGAAATACAGTACGTTTAGATCATCATTACTACCGCTCACGCCAGCAATAACAGAAACACCGAATGCATTAAACTGCTTCTAGAAGTGACAATTGTTTGCATGACCGATCTGAAACTGAAATAAGAAAAGATATAAAACAGGCAAGTCCGTACCGTTTTATCAAAACTCTTTCTCGGCTTTAGAAATCCATAGCTTTGCAGCTCCAGCTCCCTTCTCTGCTCAAGTTCTGACCGAGCTGCGCCTGAAACGCTCTTTTGGCTTTTGGATACTTACGAAAAGGAAAGGAACAGGAAGCGGTGACGATCAGTCTGGTAAACTAATGCGAGTTTTAGAAGAGCTATTGGAAGAATAGCTGTGCAGTCCACTTTTTTTTTTAGGAGAACGGATTCTCTAGAACTCCCTCGGGGATCAAAACATCAGCAAATTACTTATAATCGCTTCACATCCTGCAATGTTGTTTTGTTTTTTTAGCTGTCCCAAGGCACTAGCAATTATTTACATTTCACTCATCTCATGATAAAAAACGAAAAACACGGTGATTTAAACGCTATTTCACTGTTCTGAATTTCATCTCTCTTTGTGGTGTATCTGAAACGAACTCTCGGAGGGGTAAATCCTCCGTCCTACATCGTGACGGCGGCAGCAACTGCTTCTGGTGTCTGGGATCTGATCCGTGACTTCTCACCATATGGTTTCTATTAAAGCAAGAAAAGCCTATGCTGAACGCGAATGCAATGCAAGTAAGAAACACGTTACATGGAAATGAAATGCTCTGACGCGTGAGCATTTTTATTCTGTATTGACGTTTCACCTCGTCTTGAATCAGCCACCCGTCTCATACCATGAAATAAAATAAATTAAATTTCACTTTTTAGCTCACTTAAACATAAAATTATAGCTATTTAGTTGAGATAAGTGAACTGTTCGTGCAGTTCAGCTGAACAGGAGTTCAGCTCTGCCTAAGTGAACCAAAAGCTGGACCAGAAAGTAAAAGCGCTGGACTCCAGTTGCCGTCATAAACTATTTGGGACCAGTTCCAGAAGACAAGAACCTGCGTGTACAAAGCAAAACCTCTTTTTATAAACTGGCGCTGAGGGGGGGGACAATCTTAGCATTACAGGTATAAAACCGCAGATTTCTCATACAGTAGAACGTATTGTGTCATTTTTATGGGATCATTTTTTCAAATCCATTTAGCTTTCATTATGCATATTACTATATATACCCCATTCGTGTGTGTACAAAAAGCTTTTTTCCCTATATATGGATAGGTACAATGACAGAAGCCTTGATTCACTAGATGTTTCAAACGATTGGGTCTGATCAGTACGGGGACGTAAGACCTTTAAAGAAGGGGTGGGTGCTGCTGTAAGTGGTGTTTGTGGACCGACAGACTGTGCTCTTCACTCCGAAGATGAATTTTCAAAACGAAAAGACTAACTAGCGGAGGGCACGCTGACTATTTTAACTGGTGTCTGTAAATTGTGCGTGTGTATCTGACGCACCTGCAATGGACAGCCGTTCATTCCGGGTGTAGTCCTGCTAGACGTATAAACTCCACCGCGATTAAGCGATTTATAATTATGGCGTGACTGATGCACCAGTGTGGCGTGGGAGGTGCCTACACCTTTCGGATACGTTAAAACAGTAGTTCCCAGTCCTGGCACCTGTCGGTTTGTGTTCCACCCAAGCCCTCAATTATACAACCAAACCCTCCACCGACTTCATTAATAAAGAGGTATTTGAACGGTTTGTTTCCAGTTCCGAAACACTTGTGAGTGGAATCAAATTTCACACCTGTGACAAGAAAGAAAATGCGCATATTCCAATGAAGCATCTTCTAAGATCAAGAAAGGCTTCCCTTATCTAATGAAGGCGGGATGGAATGAGAACCGACAAGGGGGTGGGTCACCAGGAGCAGGGTTGGCGACCACTGCGTTAAACCGATTTAAAAATCCCACGGCACTAGTCGGCAGAGTGGGGGTGTTAAAGCCGGTGTTCGGGATTAATTTCACGCATATCGTCCTGAATTCCCCCCTTAATTCGATTAATGAAGCGATTAATTGCGTGTTCTGCACTGGGAGAGTTGCTGGTGTCTCGCGTGACCCAGGTAAGGTCTGCTTCAAGGGTTGGATGAAATACAGTAGGTACCATCCTAAATGTCAATGTAGTGCTTATTATAGTATATATTATAGTGATTTATTTGGGATGAAATGTGCTATAAAAATGCAATTGTAAATCATTATTACATGTAATACGGAGATCCTGGGAATTTTTTTAAACATGTGAAACAATAAAAAGTAGCACTTTGTGGTCACCCACTCGTGTTCAACTCAATGCATTGTCGCGCTGAGCGGGTGACGTGTCCAATTCCCTATCCACTGAAGGACACACCCTCGCCGGGACGCCAATCCATTGTAGGGCACATCCATGAGGGACAATTCTGGGACACCAATTAATCCGGTGAGCATGGTTTTATGATCAGTTTAGCAGGTAAATTGAGCCCTAGAATAAAAGAGGAAGCATACAGGTCCCATAATATAGGAGCCCCAGTATCGAATCGACTTCAAAACCTATGGACAAAGATGCACTAGCGCTAAGCTTCCAGGCCCCCATCACTTGTGTAAACTGAAGTGATTCAAGACCGTTTTAATTGATCATCGAGGGCTGCTGTACTCCACCTTAATTGCCGAAAAGAGGCAAAGTTGCTACGCAGAAAGCAGGTTAAGGGAAGTTATACGTTTATATTTGTGTTACCATTTCATATTACACGATCTTTATGAGATGGTATTTACAAAAAAGCCACATTCCTATTTAAAGGAAAAACAAGCAAACCAAAAACGCTCACACCGATAAGCACTTATTGTATGTAGCAAGAGTGGTGTAAACTACATTTCCCGGCGTACAACGCGTTTCCTCTTTAGATTATTAGGTGGGGTTTCATCACTCGAAAAGTGATAGTTTTAAGTGTTTAAAGGATGTGTTACAAAGTAGCTAACTTTCAGACGGTAGTGGTTTCATTATGACCAGAATCGGTCTTGAGATATTTTTAACTTGATTTACAGTATTTGAGAGGTATTTCTTGACACCGATACTACGTAAATACTGCTCACGTATATGTTTGTAGGTTTATATTATGCATTTCATACGGTCAAATTACTTTTGAGCAACTGATAAGAAGCGCGAAACGGTATGCCCAGGGCGTTTTAGTTTCGTTTTGTTTTAATGCAGTGCGGGGACTCTGCTTTAACTGTATCGCCGTGGATTGATTAGAGATATCAAGTACATACAAGTCATTTTTTAAATGTTGTAGTTCGTCTTGTAAAAATGTTACGAGTACATCATCTGTCAACAATTACACAGGTTCTGTTTCCATATTGCGGATTTTGGTTACGTAATATTATTTTCTAATTTCACGTTGTGAATATATGATTTGGGTAAACAGAGCCGCAAAGAAGTACGTTATGGGTTGTTGTTTTGGTTTTTTTTTGCAGTTTTATCTAGAACAAGCGATGCATAAACCTTTGTCTGATTCTTGTGAAACTATCCACACGGCAGTTACCTAGGAGTTGACTTCAGTGATGTCACTGATGGGATGTTTCTAAAAAGCCATCCACTGTAAAACGTCTTCTCCAGTTGTCCTGCATATGTATTCGCTAATTAAGCTGTTTGTTCTAAGCCTGGTTCTCTACATTTCTGTATGAACCAGCTTAGAGGGCTAAAGACAGCCTGTGTTTAAATTGAGTGTAAGGTAATTTATGCTTCTAAAGTCATGGTCAGCATTTATTATTGTACTGTGCTGTAAACTTGTTCTGTGCCTAATTACATTATTTTACAGCTTTATCAAATCTATCCCTGTAGAGATAGCTCTACAGCTAAACCTTTTTTACTTCCTCAGCACTTCAATAAGTGCGCGCATGCACACTCCTCAGTGCGGGGCTCAGTTTTTGTCTTCGGTATTTGCGCAATGGAGAGGAGACCTACTTGGCTGGAATCATCCCTGGACCGTTCCACCAGGCTTGGCCGTGAAGTGTTGGCCCGCGCTCAGAGAAGACACATTGAGTGGCCCAGGCTACGCCCTTCCCGACAGCTGAGGCTGAAGGAGGACAGCCCATCAGGAAAGGAGGAGGCTGGTGAGGTAGGCTCAGTTTAGGTACCCATCACGTTAGACAGCTTTCGGCAGCAAATAAGAGTTCAGTCTTACCATTGCTGTCATTCAGGTGAAGCCCTCCCCTGAATTCAGGGGCAAGAGAATTACTGTGAAACATACATATGTCTGTTCCTTATCAATAGGAAGAACAGAGACACACAAAACTGGATGATGCCTTTGAAACCATAATGGAGTTTATGGCTCACACTACCCACCAATGTAAGGTAAACATGCATTATGCATACTCTCTTCTTGCTAATTTTCACAAAAAAAGGAAAGTTTAAGTCTTTAAAGACCTATCGTCTTAAGAAACATTAAAATAAAACATTGGAGATGATCTGATAGATACTTATATGTTATTTAAAATACACTTAATTGTTTTTCTTCTTGTGAAGCAGAGAGCAAGTGTCTTAAGTTACACAGTGAGTTTGGCCTGAGTTGTCTTACATGGTATGTAAACATGCATAAAACTGTGGTATGAATTATTTTACAGTATTTTTACAGATCTGTGTCGGCAGCTGAGTCCAGTCAGACTGAAGTAAACCATGTACACAGGTACCACGCTCAGCGTAACTCTGCCTCAAAAGCACGAGATTCCAGTAGGCAGGTAAGTGAAAACTCTAATACAGTACATGCATTTCCAGTGTGTTTGAAGAGCAGGATGTCACTGCTGTTACAGAAACCTTGATGATATTCACAGTTTATGGTGAAAAGCGTTCATGCATTTGACTGGTTCTCCTGAAATCAAGTTAGTAGTTCACTTTCTACAGCAACCAGAACAACAACACTGTGCCCTTGACAGCTTTATATTGTATATTCAGTTTTTTTTCTTGTTGTTTCCATTTACTTTCATTCCACTCGTATGTATTATTTACAGTGCTACTGATTGTGGCTTTTAGGAACAAAGGTCCTCTGAGGATTTTCACATTGAAGTGGCTCCAGGAACATATGCCATCACAGCAGGAGCTCAAGACACTGAGAAACAGACCCGGCTGGTGCAGATCGGTGCAGGAGAAAGCGTGAATCTCACATTTACTCTCTGACCTGTCCCAACCGGTGCTGGAGCAGGGGCAAGTGCAATAACATACTCCTGTGTTTTAAAGCGTGCAATGCTGTCCTGTTCATTTGTGAAGAGGGAGGGCGAACTGTATTTGTGGATCAGGGCTTCTTTATGAACTTGAGCTGAACCATTGAACTGCTGCCAGTTCTCAGTATACTGTCCTTTTCTAATCGTGCAATTATTTTTATTTCAGAGGTGTGAATATAGTTTAATTTTGTCTTATTAAGTTGTATGCATCCTATACATATTTGTGTCATTAAAGTGTTATTTTTATCAAGATTTGTCAGCAGTCCACCTCGTACACTGTAGTTTGTACTGGGAACTTGTACCTGGAAGGGTGTGGGTTCCAAGCCCAGGAGTGGCACCTCTGTTGCATACGTCATCCAGAGTGCATCAGTACAATGGCCAGCTGTAAAAAAAACAAAGGATACAAATTTAAGTCACTTTTAGTAAAAACTTAATCCAGATAAATTCAAAGTGAAGTTGCTCTGTTTATACATACCTTTCTGTGATAGTTCATCAGAGTTGTCGGGTACAAAGCAGTCTTGCTTGTTTTCAGTACTTCTTGCCATTTGGGATCCTACGTTGTTGGAGGTCTAAAGGTTGCCAAGTTTTCGTCTCAAAGGGTTTGTTTTATTTATTCAAAAGTGCTCATTTAATCTTTTCAAGGCCACCACAGTGGTACAAAAATGAACATATTATTATTCCTTTATTTTACTTTTTGGGAAATTGATATACATATATGTAGGTTTTATGTCAGAGATAAATACAACATTGTGCATCATTTAAATGCTTAAACAGGCCTCCTGAAGAAATTGTCCCCAAAAATTCTTTAAAATACTTAAATTCACTAGAGAATAAACAGAATATGAGGCAGAAAAAAACATACAGGCACTATTACAGTCCCAATAAATCATGACTTAAAATCACATAAAATCTGAACCAAGTTGTTCAGTTCTTTTGAGAGATTTAAGTCCTCCTGTAATTTAAAGTTCTTCTTGCAAGAAATGTTGTCCACTTCAGTCAATTACAATGCAGGTTGCAAAGATGCTTCTTCAACATATGCTAGTAGATCTCTGAGCAACTTTTTTTTTTTGCTTTGTATTTCTGTAATCATTTCAAATGGATTAACTTCAGGATGTCCGTGCAAATCTAATGGACTGGAACAGGCCCAAACTAAACTGCTATAAGACTTCCTGGTGACTCACTTTGCTCTCCGTTTCTCTGCTTGCCTTGTCAGGTAACTTCTCATCACCTTTGTTTTCAAATGCTTTTCACAAGTACTTTCCTGTAAAAAAAGGGCAAATTGGTAAATTCTATCCAGTTCTGTATTTCTAAAAATAAAAAGCCAGATATACATAACTCAAATATATCCATTGACACTTAAGGACAATATTTTTGCAAATACTACTCATTTTAAGTAGACAAATTTACTGCAGGTAACAGAATGCACCAAAATTGTTAACAAACTACTATGAAGCTTACAGGTATATTTTTTTAAAAAGCCACGACTTATAAAATTACCCTGAGTGGAGGTTGGATATCATGCTGGGCTAACACATCCTTCATGCCAATACTTCTTCTTGAAGAATATGGAATTGTTTCAAACATTGCGCTGCGATTGGTTGGACCAGCAAAGCAAAACTCTGGAGAGTTCACGTCTGCTGAACTAAAAGTGCATTTCCCTACACTCCTGACTTGGTTCCCTGAGTACCATCAAAAAACAAGCATTAGATATATATTCACAGTGACTGTTACTTCATTCTCAGTTTTAGTACTGGTATAAGGGAGATCGAACCTGTTGTATATCTGACTACATGAGTAAAATAATTTACGAGGGAATTCAGTGGGAAAATCTCTTGCTCATAATTAAGTAAAATAATTTTAACAGGATGGGGCAGGGTTCTAATCTTTTATGAGTTTTTGAGGTTATAAATGTACTCTAAAAGTACAAATTAAGAAGCAAAAAGCTAAAAAATAGTAATTACACACTGTACACATAAGTAAAAAGAAAGCAATGACTGTTGCTGACTCTTGGAAATGTAATTTCCAGACAGCAGTTTTGGAATATTGGGTAAAATGGAGTATGAGCTTTTTAAATTCCCATCTGAACTTTTCTTATCTGCTAAAAACGTTGTTCCTACATTAAGGATATGAACACTATTAAGTAAAATAATTGTACCTTTACACTGCAAAAGCAAAAGAATAAAGCTTTTAGCTCACATAACCTCATTCACATTCATGTTGCTGTACACTAATACCTGGTGTCTTATGCAGTGGCTCAGGGTGGCTTCTCCTCCAGTACTTCCAGGCTGGTCTGTCTGGAGACGTTGATCTTGGCCTGTTAAAGAGACTGGAGTCTGTGTTGACTGCCCGGTCAATACTAACACGTACTGCTGTTTTACTGGTGGGCTCTGCTTCTCCCTCCGAATCAGAGTTTTTCTCTTCTGACAGCGAAGAGGAAGAGACAGAAAGGGGCCTGTTGGACTCCCGGAGCTCTTGAAGCTGCAGGTTAATCTTTTTATCCAGATCTTCATTCCGGGGGTCTCTCGTGTAGTGTGGGTTCCCCGTCGTTAAAGGCCACCACGTGTGCAATTTGTGAAGACAGCTGCCTAAATGGTGGGCTGGAACACAGCAGGTGCTTCTCCAGGGACTGTAATAAGAGCAATATGGAGAGGACATACTGTGGCACTTACACAAAGAGCGATGACACAAGGGGAGCGGTACAGATCTGCAAGCACATATTTCTGGCCAAATCGATTCATTTTGTACAAGGGCTCCTCTTGCAGTGAGGGGCTGGTGAATCTCCTTTACGATTTGCTCATATAAAGCTGGTGAGATCCACACAGCTACTCCTCTTGGCACTTTAGCTTCTTTTCCATTCCAGAAGGATACTCTGATCTCCTCTCCATCTTTGGCTGGAATAAAAAGGAAATAAAAATTAAAACTGAAAAGCTTAGACGCAAGAGCACATTGACTAATTTCATATCTTAATCAGCTTTGGGATGTGATAGACTATTTTGTTGGCACAGATATAAAATGCAAATTGATGAGCACAATGAACACTTTCATTTCATTGCCCATCAGGAGCAGGACACAACCCAGAACAGAACTAAACAATTTTGCAGAAGATTTCCAAATGAATTTCATAGCCACAGAATTTCATTAAATCAGAATTTTGATTGACTTGAGAAAAGAAAATGAGATTACATACCACTTAGTGGGTCCCTTATCTCAACTCCAGAGAGTACACTTCCAGGCCCGTATCTCACCAGATCTGTCTCCCATGGTGCCAGAACCTTATCCCCTGGCACAACACTGTGTCGGAGAGCCTCTGTGTAGTGTAAAACATCCATTATGCTGGTCTTTTGCACTGACGTCTGATACTTTCCACCGATGAGAGCTGGTTTATCAAAATTAACCAGGAATATCCCCCTTCTTCTCTAGAGACAGTTCAAACATGGCACTGTTTAAGTTTAAGCATTCAGTTTTAAGAATGTTTTAATAAATAAAACATGCACAATACAATTAACAGAATCACTGAGAAAAATGAGTCCTCAGCACTAAAAGATTAATCAGAATCTGGTCCCAATCTACCTCAACTTCTTGTTTAATGCTCCCAAGATAGTAATACCCATCCGGCTCTCTTCTTGCTAAGACACGAGTGCCTACTGTTAACAGAGAGGAGCCCAGGGGTGACTCCAGCATTTCAGCGATCTCACAGGTGCTAAGGGGACACGTGGGAACCAAACTGACCAAATTGTGCCTGCAATGAAAAATATTCAGGGACATGACTTTAACGTACGAACTTTCATTTTGTACACAACCTGTGACCATAACATTTTTGATTGATTTGGGCTGACGGTTCTTAACATTGATGAAAACAATACACGTATTGTGAACTATAAAGTGGCTTTGTGGCTGAAGTTCCCAAATCGGAGGACCTTCGTAACGGAGCTCCATGTTAACTTCAGGGTAGGTCCTTTTGGGGCACGGCCTGCACTGTCTTAAAGTCTTAGCTGGCCATTCCAAACGGGAGAGAAAAGGCAAATAAAAAAACGAATTGGGCGGGATGAGTTGAAAATAAAAAGTACCCTGAAATACAAACGTATACAGTGAATAATGACAGTAAATAATCAGATAGGCGTGAACAAATATGTACCTCGCAGGTACTGTGACAGCTGGGTGACAGCAGTGAGTGTGTCCCAGGGGGGAGGCGCACAAGGATAAATCCGTCACAGCTGTTACAGGTCTGTCCAGATTCGTCCCTGCACTGCAGTATTTCACATCCCAGTAGAACGGCCCAGTAGTCCAGCATTCTGTTTTGTAAACTGGAACCACCTATGGATGAGGTTACAGTTACAAATGAGACAAATTAAGCAAAAGTGAATACAAGCAAATCACAGCAGGTATCAGTTCTATTACTCCATTAGTTTGATTTAAGATATACAGATAGACTATCTACTCACTGCATAAACGGCTCTTATTCGTTATGCTTAGAACAAAAAATGATTTTGAGTGACATTGATAATATTTCATCTAGTGGTAGTGTTAGTTAATGTCAACATGGGTTTTGCCTAAGCGCTCTTGAGTCCTCCCATAGTCCATAGACATGGGAAAAGTGCCCCTGGTGTGACTGTGTGTGTCTGTTCTGCAATTGTCTGGTGTCCCATCCAGGCGTATCCTGCCTTGTGCTTGATGCTTGCCAGGATAAGGTCCAGCTCCCCCCTGACCCTGAATTGGATGAAGCAGTTAGAAAATGGATGCACAAGTTATATTCAGAAACCCTTCCCTATTCCAGCTGTACTGTATATAGAAAACATGATAACTGATCATTACATTAAGCTTATATTAACAGCACATGCCCATCATTGCTGTCACAAGAGTGGCAATAATATTTTCGACTAAGCTAGAGTTAAGCATGAAAAACTAAAGAAGCGTAATTTTAGTTCTTTTGCATATTTATTACAGATACACTTACCATTTTTTAAAGTAACAATGCAGCTGTGCCTTACAGGCTAGGACTTTCTCCGAGGTGGAAAAGAAAGTGAAATGCTTTGCTTAGCACATTCTGCGTGATTACCTGTTTCACGTCGGCAGCACCGAGAACGATGAGGTGACAGCTCCCTCTAGTGCACTGAGCAAGCTTCTGGAGAAACCTCAGCTCTTCGCTGTCCGTCCACTTGTCAGCCACATAGAAAACATGAACAGGGCGCTCCCGCGATACGCGCGACACCACTTGCAAAACCTCTTGCGCTTTTGTGTGGGGGAAGCCATTTGTTACCAGATAGACAGCTTGGCAAGCTAGGTCATCAAAGGCAGCTATCAGAGCACCAAGTAGATCTCTACCGGGTTTACAGCACAGAGAACGGATCCAGTCCAGGGCCCCATAGACAGTGTTGGGAGAGCAGGTCACCATTCGGTCACACCATTTTGTAACCTGTTTGTGAACAAGAGTACACGTGAACATACAATTTGTGTCACCGCCCCGACAGAAACTGACACAAGCTTACACATATAATCGGTCTTACCAAAATGCACAACATACCTGGTGTGCAGACGAAGACGCAAACGAAAGAGTCAGTACGTGAGCATCAACGTTACATGAACTGACTTAAGTTTAGTCATTATAAAGACATTGTATCGTTTCTTCATGCGGTTCTTTTCAAGAATTGTGGTGGAATAAAAACTCAGGTTATGTGTAAAAAAAATAAAGGTTAAAAGAATCATTTGGAATACCTTATATGAGAACTCCACGACGTTGAACAGAGAGTCTCCGGCCCGAGATTTAGCCAGCAGTGCCTCAATGAGATGATGTTTCACCATCTCAAGACAGGTGTACATGCTGTCAGAGGTGTCAATGACAAACGTGATATTTCGGTCTCTAATCTCCCCGAACAGGGGAAGAGAGCCCAGGGAGTGAGCTAACGGGTTGATCACAGGCATTTCCGTCTTCGCACTGAGCAGCCCCTAAAAACAGCAGAATCGAAGGGAACATTTAAAATCTACACATTTATTTTCTCACGGAAGTAGTGGACCCAAAATGCAGAGTAAGTTTTACAAGAACGGGTAAGTGTTCAAGAGTCAATCAGCCTGAAGAAGACAGCATCTTTATCAACCTAAGTCGCTTTTAGTCTAACAATATTCACTGGCGTCGTGTTCATTGCGACCTTACTACACTACGAGCGGCAGAGGAAACCATAGAAACTTAATGTCCACCTGCACCGCTTTTAACGCTGCCAACAACAAAAGAAAGGTGTCTCAGCGTGAATTTTTCAGGGCAAGATAACATATTTCCCCTTTGATAATCCATTAAAATACACAATATTTCATATCGCATGATCGCATTATGACAAACCTGTTGAATCCGGACCCTGTTTGGCTCCTGTGGTGCGGAAAGTGCATCGAAGCGCACTGGAAACACAGGACTCTTTGTTGACACAGGTCTCCATGGGTCGAACAAACGTTGCTACGGGCCATTGCTAGCTAATAACCTACGGTGGCCCATTTAACACATATCTCATTTAAAAAGAATACATTATTATCACAAATAGTAATAGTATAATTTAAATACGTTCCAATAATTAAAGAAAATGCTTATCTAAAATATTTCTAGTATTGTGTAATTTGCCGTGTTTTTGTTTTTAAATCTTCATAATATACATGATAGCATATTGATATCGTCTTTACTTAGATCTTGTCCGATCCTGGAAGTTTAGCAAGGCTGGTTGTGATTTTATTAGGACACCGGAACCTTTGATAAAAACTGGTTCTTGCTACTGGTGTCAGATCAGTAGGTGGCGCTCTCCTCACTGGACAATAATTTCCAAACGGCCCAGAATGGCGCTTTGGGACTCTGCTGCCAAATTACCGTCCGATTCGGATCCTGCTGAGTGTTTGGCCACAAACCTGTTCATAATGTGTAGAAGTGTTAACCCTGGCGCCCTGTCTAAATTCAGATCTGAGACCGTTAATAACAGCAAAGTGTTCCGATTACAAAATGTTCTGTGTATATGTCCGATTCGGCCTCCCTAAAAGATTACCCAGAGCTTGTCATTTCTCTGCCTCGGGTGCTCTGTGACAGAGTTGCTGGTTGATGGTGAGTGCAATACTTCAGTGGTGGATGATGTTAGTCCTATACATGAAGCACTTTGGGATGAAAGGTGCTATATGAAATCCAATTAATTAAATCACAAGTTTGGGTAAGTACACGAAAACAAATCTAGAAGCTGCATCATTTACTGCAAAATTATTATATGGTTAAAAAATGAGAACAGAATTGTGTTGTGGCAGAATTTGTTGCATTGCCTTATGCATAATTACATTCATTGATATCTACAAAAACAACTGAATGAGTTAAACACTCAAGATGGATTGTACATGATAAGGAATTTAACTTTAATGCAGAAGTTATAACACAAATTGTACAAGAGATTAGAAACATTGTATGTTTTAGCATTAAGACAATTATATTCTGACTGCCATTAAGCACTATACATTTAGGTGCCAAGGTAAATTACATTTTTTTAAATTATTTTGAAGAGAACCGATTTTCATCAAGCATGTTTTAACAAGAATTGGCAATACTTACATCTTAATGGTGAATATATTTACTATGTACATTGTTCATTAGAAGCTCAATTAATGTTACAAAAATTGATTTTTAAATATGATTTATATTGAAGAATTATTGATTTGAATAGTTTTTTAAAACTTGAAATCAAAAAACTTCCTTCTGACAAATAACAGGAAGAAAGATTGTCATATCATATACAACACTCTGGACACTAAAAGGCAGGTCCAAACAAAGGAGAAAAGGGGTTTAATCAACTGGATAAGACAGCAACTATTGTTCCAAAACTGCCTTCATATCAGTTTTTAGCAAAGGAAATTCATCACTATGAAAAAATAATAGCAGAATTAACACTCAAGTATAACTATGGAACTAACATTTATTATACCTGTGTAATTGTTTAGATACTGCATCATTAGCATGAGTAAGCAGAAATAATTGCTTGCTCTTCAGTTTTTTTTAAAAAAAGTCTTTCAAACTGGATTTTAATATCTATGAAAAAGCAAGATCAGTCATCATGGAAATTTCACAATTTATAGTTGGTAATTATTCTTAATGCTGCATATTTTGATCAGTATTAGGAATGCAGTATTAGTTTTATACATTATCTTTTTAAAATTGCAAGAGTTCATGCATTAATTTCTGCATAAGACAGGTGTAATACATGTAACTAAGGTTATTCATTCATTTTTTTAAGGACCATTTGGCTCCCACATGAACCCAAAGAAAAATACCAAACACGCATCATGATCAACTACATTATACATCCTTACAATCACTTTTATATGTGGGTCCTTGCTATATTAAAAAGAACACCCATAGAGCTGAACCCTGGATAATGTTACTAGCCAACAATAACCAGGATTCCTCAAGCAGTGGAGCACAACTGTGCTGCCAGGGGTAGAGTTGGGATTAGCTGGCCAAGGCTCTCTCGGGAGTCTGGCAAAACCACAACCTCTGCAATTTCCCAGGCCTCTGCAGGCTGAGTGATGTGATAACATCAGTGAGACATGCCTCTACTCCAGTCGGCACTGAACGTCCAGCACATGTGTCAAAATATGAATGGCTGAATGAGTGGGTGAGTCAACGAGTCTGTGCTGGGCAAACAATAAAAAGTAATGTGCAATTCTACATTTTTATCAAACACTAAGCCCCACTAGAACAGTCCAATTTCTTTTTTGTCCAAGGCCTTTTGGCCTTTTGTGATGGCAAAAGTTTCAAATATTGTGTTTGTGGCTGCTCTATTTTGTGCTTGTACTTTTGTCACGGGACCTCAAAATCAAGATTATTCATTTTAACATTACAGGAATCATAGGAATTACAGGAATATACACAAGATGGAAGATGCAGTCATCAGAGCTAACCCCTAGACAGGTGGGCAGGGAGGAGAGGCTTATGAGCAGCTGGAGTGGTTTGGAAGACCCAGTCACAGTGATCGCACTTCTCCAGTCACAATTTCATGGAGGACATGATGTTAAAAGGGAGCAGCAGGTTTTAGCTCAGAACCACATGCCGATCAAAGACAGATTTGCGCTGCTCCTGGACCTGCCTCTTCCACCGCTGCTGAGCGTACTCCACTTTGTTCAGCACGTTGGTCCGAGAGCGAGAGCGAGACAGCACATCGTGAGCATTAGCAAAGGGCTGGTGGTCCTTGGGGAAAACAAAACAAGGTGGCAAATCAAACGAAGAGGCTACATGCTGTAAACGTCAAAGTCTTTTATTTTTTTGCAACTGCAAAGTGATTAATAGGGTAAAACATCTACTTCGGATGTTCAAGTCATCATTATATGAAGGAGAATGTGGAGGAAAATCTTTGGGTAGTGATTCACATGTAAACTTATTATTAACATTATCAGTAACCCTAGCCAGCAAAAAGGTAATACACAAAGACTTAGAGAACCAGTTTGAAAGTGACCCATCAAAGACCTGGAGTGTAAGGAGTAATGAAGAGCACTCACAAGAAGAGCTCTATGATCATGGGTTTCGCCTAGATCACGTCACTAGCCAACTGTAAGTGGGATTTCCCTGGTGAGGAACATCCCTCTTCTCAAATCGGCACTGAGCCTCTATCGAAATCTGGGTTGTATTGCCTGCGACATGTTAAGAGGGGAACAGTCACAGAGCTTGCAACTGGAAGCTCATACACAGAAAACATACTACTGGCTATTCCATATTGAGTGGCTATGACAATAATAATTGGGGATTCTCAATAAAAAAAAAAAAACAAAGAAAACGGATAACATACCCCCACCTCATCGTCACTCTGTATCAGCTGGGAGTGCCCAAACAGACGTCTCTTCAGGACGGGCTCCAACAATGTCAGGTACACCATGTAGAGAAGCAGCAGACCCAAGATGGACAGGTAAATAATGATTGTTGCCTGTGAGGAACAGTGGAGGCAACACATCCAGAATTATCCCAGAGCAGTTTTTTTCTTGTGTTTGCTATTTTCTGACATCCTGAAATAATGCTGAAATTAATTATTCTTTAGATGCAAACTCCTAATTCAGAGCATAACACACTGCAGACATGGACTAATAAGAATTTGTTCCTCTTCCGCCGATATCAGTTCCTGTTTTTATGCCAGAATCAGCCATGTTGTCCTCTTATTAAAGAGAGCTGGGTTATGGCACATTGGTGCAGCACCTGCTACTGTGCCTGAACATATGGTGGAGTAAAGCTACAAACACAACCCACTTGTGTTTTTAAGATCACAAGACCTATTGCACCCAGATCTTTGTGCAGCACTGCTTTGCATATTTCCCTTTTCAATTGTGCCAGCCCAAGTAAGTTCACTATATATTAGAAAAAGATATGCGACAGTAACTACACCTCTGGAAAAGAACTGATTGAATCCCATTATAGATCAGATACACTACTTGAAAGCACTGAAGACTTTTTTTCTATTCCAATTTTAAAAAAATGAAATTCTGCACAAGGGGCTCAATCTTTCAGCGCTATCAATGTATCAACAGAGAAAACACATCTTGACTCAGCATCTAACAAGAAACAACATTTAAACCTTTCTTAGAGGAAAATAAACTGTTAAGATGAAGCACATCCATGAATTCATATAGAAAGAAGATATAAAATCTGAATGATTATTAAAAAAACATTGGTTGCATATGGGACAGCATCTCGCTCTTACTTTTATAGTGACTGAACTTCTCTCTTCATATTTACATTCACATCGCAAACAATAAGCCTCCACATCTTTCCCAGGCACTGGCATCGGCTCCACCACATGCAGGCAGTTGCTAGACAAAGTAAGAAAACAAGGAAAAAATACTCTAGTAGCAAACATTTCACCAAAACAGGAACACGACATCTACAAAAACAAGGTCAATGTTGATTGTAAACAAAGTTTCTATCTATAGGTGACCACTCTTTTGCAAAACTTCAAAATGACTACTGCAAGGGGAATTTTAGACATCAAGTACAGGAAAGCTAGGTTAACTTTAAAACACACACCAGTCTTTTTGTGACACATTCTGGTTGTATATCTTCCCAGGAAGTTCTTTATACGGTGGGCAAATGCATTTGCATCTGATGTCTTCTGAATTCTATAAAGAAAAAAGAGAGAAAAGGTTCTCTTCAATAAATGACGTGTAATATTTGTAATATGGCTTAGTTCTTTTTCAATCCTTATTAAACTGTATTGCAAGGTCACACTAGATGGTGTTCATTTATGCCATTTCAATCATACATTCACCGTGAAAAGCTGGTGGTTTCAGCCAACATTACAAGTGCGCTTTTGACAGTTTAAGTAAAAGGAGATTCCAGTTATGAAAGACTGATCTAGGCCTACTACAGACCTCTTTCTACACACAAACATCTGAATGACTAACTTTTACAAGCATGACATCTAAATAGAAGTACACTATACACGAAGCAAAAGCCATTTTCAATTATTATCTTTGTAAGGAATATTTAAGGGTTACATTTTGTTGTGACTGGATGCTCTCCACATACGTACATGCACTGCATTGCTATGTCTATATGAGTTACTGGCAATTAAGGCTTAATTAAGGAATATTAAACATTCTAGTCAGTATAGAATGTGGAAAACGAACTGAAAAACATTGTGTTTAAATGGAGATACAGCTTTACATAAGAAAGGCAAACACGGCACTTAAAAATCCAGGGAAGCTCGAATTCAGTCTCTTCAAAATTATACTTTCAACATAAATATACCTGTGGCAATGTATGAACTGGCAGGTCAAACGCCCACGAAGGAAAACCGGTTTATAAACATACGTGTTGCAAAGTGTACTATTTATGTTACACATTTGTTTGTTTATGAAAGCAGATACAAATAACCTAGAAAAACGTTAAATATGGGCGATACTTTACCTTTGCTTCCGTTGACTGTGTAGACAATAACATACAGCAGATTATAAAAAACAACTGGAAATAGACTCTGATGTTGTAGACAGTGGGGGGTGCCATTCTCCCAGAGTTTAAATTATATTATCGGTGTTCAATTATACTAATTATAGATTAAAACAAAACACGCGCATATAAACCCGAAAATCAGCGGTTGTCAATAAACATTTCCTCTTTACTCCATTTTCCTAGTAGCGTGAAGCTACATTATGCGACAGGAATGATCCGGAAGTGTATGTAAATAGCCGAATTTCAATCAAAATAAAAGCCTTTCAACTACCACAGTATCGTATGATACGTCAAAATTTGTCTTACATTATACAAACAATTATCCCATAGACGGTAAGGAAAATAGTGTGAAATTGACACTTTATTTCAAACCAGAATGGATGATCCACCGGTGAAGTGTTAACAATGCCCACATTGCGATAACATGCCTTCGAGACAAATCTAGTATCGGCCGCTAAAAGACCCCTATAAACCCCAGCAACATTGGCAAAGGACGCTCATCTGGCAAAACCATGGTTATATACTATGAGCTGGGGGTCTGTAGAACAGATCTGAGTCACTTTTGGAGAGGCACAAATTTTTGTTTGGTCGGGAGGGGAATGAGACTACTCCCTGTCCATCACTGCAGTGTCCCAGTCTGGGAACAGCAGGTGGTCTTATCAACCTTTTCAGCAGTTTTGACAGAGACACGTATGTGACAAAAACAAGGTGATTTTCTATTAGCTGTGGGTCTGTAGAATAGATCTGAGCTACTTTTAGAGAGGCACAATTTGTTTTTTGTCAGGAATGAGACTTTTTTCTGTCTAGCAGTGCACAGCTCTGTGTCAATTTGCAAGGAGGAAGTGATATAAAAACACCAATAAGATTCCAAGAAAGCAAAAATATATAATGAAGAACGGCCATTTCTTATTACCTGTGGGTCTATTTATCACATTCCACCTAGTTTTGAGGATGTACAAATTGTTGTTGTGCTATAAATGTGACTTTACCTGGTTCAGGATGATTTTTTCTGAGGCAGGGTTTCGGGTACTTTTATTTTGAAAGGTGCTGCCAAGCTGAATGTAGCTTGCATCGCGGTCGTCCACACAAGTCCGGAGAAATATCATTCCTTCTGGAAACAGTGTCAGTCATGTTTCGAATTGCATTTAATTAAATCAACGTTGACACAGTGGGTTGAGTAAATATAATTACATGTACCTTATTACGTCTCAGGAGTTTGAAACAGTGTCCCACGAATAATCCGTCTGCTTGGTGGGTGTTACACAATAAGACTCCCCTGTTATTCTATAGGTTATATTCGGTAGCGGGAAGCCTGTGAAAGTATACATTGCTTTTAATTGTAGAGCAGGATTACTATGTTTTTAACGGACATGGCCTTCCTTTTGCTCCTTAAATCCCCGTCATTGCGGTGGATTTTCAGGTATCTTCAATTCTTACAAATAAAATAACTTTTCAGATATCGGATATGTTCTTTATCCGATATTTATTTTAAAAAATAATCAAAGAAAATAACGCCGTCTCGCTGAATAATAAACATTTTGGCACTTAAGCTTGATGTTGTTAAAGTCCAGGTTTTAGAAAAACATCTGTTAATCGAAAATTATAAGACATGTGGTACAACTGTTAACCCAGGTGACTACACCCTATACTGTGTGAAGTTATTTATATGTAGTCTATGAACTACTACTGGCACATGTAATAAGTAACGTCCTTCATTACAGGTGTCTGTTCATGTACTCGGGGAGCTGACGTCTTTATTGATTGAGTTGGAGTTGTAGGCCTAACAGTTGTGGAAAAAAGACTAGAATAGCAGCTCCAGGGGACCCAGGTGTACTGTTTCCATAGCAACCTTCCATGAAACCGATCCCTCAGAATTTCCTACCAATGTATTCATAAATACAGACAGCTGCAGCATTAGTTATGCTTTCAGGCTGTCTTAATTAAAAACAAACAATGGATCAAGCAGAATGCAAATAATTCAAAAGAACAATGACTGTCCTCCACAGCCAGTACCCAGTATTTTGAGAACTATCAGATTTTATTAATCATAACTTGGTTCACATTATTCCAGAGTTTCTTAACATGTTTCTTTTCTGTATATGGTACGTACGTGAATATATTCCATGTATGTCATCCACATAACTTAGCCCTCCCTCCAACAACAAAATAAAAATGATTTGCAATTAACTATCACCAAAGGCTTTAGAACTTTTGGCAATAAATAAAACTTTGGCTGAACAATATCAATTACTTTTAAACAGGTACTAGGTGCCCTTTTACAGTATGTACTGTAGAGTTGTTTATGGTGTTTTGTTTGTATTTTAAACTGAATAACTCATTAATATAACCTCTTAGTTTCAAAATAATTTGATTGAATGCTAATTAGCATTTTACTATTAAACAATTAAACTTCTTGAAGAGCTCCTTGCAGATTTCTAATTGTCTCGTTTTTATGACCAGATGGGTTCAGTAGCTCTTAAGTGCCCATGCCTTGCTTCAAGTGTATTAAATTGGTTGGACTGTCTAAGCAGGCATGAGAGATCAGCCTTAATGTGTGTGAAGTGTAGAGTTGTGAGTCATTATTTTGAAGGGAGAAATTTCATCAGGTCAAGAGGCATCAGGAAAATAAGGTATAAAATAAGGGAGCTTTGAAAATTCAGAAGATAGGAAATGTGTAATAATGCTTTACAGAAGTATTATGTTAAACGACTTACACATTTCATAATATATTCTTTTTCCATGTCATCATTTTGAAGTTAAATATTGTAGTTGAAAGGGGCTTTCTAAATCAATTTTCATTTAGACCCAGTTAGAAAATCTGTTTTAAAAGGAGGTCTCATTTAGCATTATTCCCTAGTTAGTCAGCACACCAGCCATGTATAGCAGCTTCCATACAGTCATCAATCTGTTACGTTTTCATTCAAGACTGATCTGGGGTTAACAATGGCAATAGTAACAATATCGAGACACCTGAAAAATGACTATAGTACAATAAGTGACTATGCAATTCTATTTATATAATTTAGTCTTGGAAAGAAAGGAACAATAATCCACTTAGTCCCCACTGTGTTCTTCCAAATCTATACTGTATATAATGACAATACTGTATTGAAAATCACTTAATCAGAATCTGTCTACATTCAAGAGTGTTTTACCTGTTATTTGCATTTTGTTTAAAATATGCATAAAAACAGAATGTCTCAGTCCTCTTTGAATTTAGTTTAAAAAAATAAAACAAAAAAAGGACTTTAAATATGTAACTTGAGAATGATCTTTTGAATGCATTATATTCTTTTATGTCTAAACAACAAACATATTACTGTAGTATAGAGTGGGATTTTAGACCGGCACAGAGGCATTTAAATTAGTATTTTGTTACTGCTCTTTCAGACTGACTAGGAATCTGCAAAAGAGCACTGACCTAACCTTTCAGAGCACAGCCCATTCCAACCCCCAGTTAACAGAACCATCAGCAGCTGCTCTTCACTTTATTGGGAGCCTTTGTAATGGAATGCTCAACTTAGACCTTCTTTGTTACGTATTGCAAGCTGCTGCAGTCAATAGCTACTGGGCGATCTTGAACCACTTCCTACATTTATGTAGCAAATGCGGCATCCATTCTCAGTCCAAAAAAGAGCTCAATTTGGAGAAATTGGTGTTTGCAATACAATTTCTAAAAAAGGAGGGAGGAGCTGTCTGAATGAAGTTGTCCATTTTTCTCACCTGTTGTGTTCTGCACTGGAAACTTAATTTCATGGTGTTTTGCTCCCCAGGCCTACTTCTGGGTATTTAATCAGATGGCTCCGGCTAACAGGAAGACAGTGTATGCTTTTTAATTATAAATACACTCAGCAGAGGTATTTGCTTCTGACATTGCAAAAGTGTGGGCAGGTGTCAGGGTGTGAAGAACACAGGCAGCAGTCAAGGGAAGTTTCTAATATCTTTAGAGAACTGTAATTATAGTAGGGTACAGTACAGGCAGAGCCCAAATCAGGAGTTTACAATTTCAGGAAATTAACTCAATCTGTTTAGTTTTGAATACAGAAGATTAGACAAAGGGCGCCGGATTCAAATATTCAAAATCCACAAAGGCGCTGACAAAGTCAAATCGTGGGGCCTGAGTCGAAACTATGGAGAAGTGCCTGTGAACGTGAGAACCGGAGACACTTTCTTATTTTATGAAGGGTTTTAGGAGTCTGGAACAAGCTCGCCAGCCATTTTCTGAAGCTAATACCCTGGCTGCTTTCATGAAATGGCTGGGTAAGATTCTCAGTTCAAAATAGGTACAGTACTTGCAGCCAAATGAGAGAGATGGTCAGAGAATGATCTCCTTTCTTATACTCATAACACTCAACAGTCCTTGGAGGGATGGTGACATTGTCTCAAAATGATAAGGAAAGATATAAAGCACAGTACTGAAAAAAAATACTTTATTTTTCTTCACCAAGCTATTGTTTTGTTTAATTTCTAATGTCTCATCCTCGTGTTATTACCAGAGGTATTAAAGCAATGTAATACATGCTCATTTTGATCTAACATCATGTACATTTCAGTCATGTGGATGTCCACCTGGAAAATAATCTCATTTCCATTAGATATCCCCCCCAAAAAATGCAGATAACCATGAGACATTCATAATGTTCTAATTCTTTATGATTTTACTGTTGTTACGGTTTTGCAATATCCCTTTTAGCATTGTTTTTTCTGCTATCAGATAATTCAGAACCCATAATGACTTTTTATTTTAAATAACAGTACATTTGGCAATTAGGATATGATAGAAGAATTCACTCATCATGTATAGTAGTTGCAATATCAGCCCCCTGCAGCTGTGACAGAATAATCTTAGACTTGTAAAGTCATAACAAAAGCAGATATCAGACCCCAGGCTTGTTCACACTTATTAAACACCTTTCCTCACTGTTGCTGATGTTTCAACTTCATGCCCAATGATTCAACTTGACCAAAAGTATGAGTGTGTGGGTGCTTGTAAGCAAAATGTTTTTTTTAGTTTTTACTTAAAAGCACCAAATGATGTTTGATATTTTATGTACCTGCTCCCAACAAGTGAACCTTTAAGGAAACGTGCTTAGATAATTGACCATTCATCGCTACAATGTGACATTGACATTGATGTCACATATAAAAATGGTTCCCTTTCTTTTGGCAATGAAAGTTAGAAAATACAGTAGGGAATATGTCCATAACACTCAACTTTTTTTTTAGAGACCTTAAAGGACTATGTTGCACTACATTAAAAGCAAACTTTAACAGACTGTAACAAAAATGTCTAATTTATTTTACATAACTAAGATATAGAGAAAATCACCCTCATGGGGACAAGAAGAAATAAAGCTATTATCATCCCCAATATTGGTGCAGGCCACGGTGTACTTCTGGATGAAAAACAAGAACTATACTCGTAAATCAATGTATTAATTCTGCTTTTAACTAAGCACCAATTCTTCAGTAACAACCCATCATATTGAATATTTATTGCTTTAGACCCCTGTCTGTGACCTGTTCATCTTGTCCGCTCGTGTTCTCAGTGCTGCCAGCTCTGGAGTCGGCAGCGAGTTTCCTGGGACCTGTCGGCCTGTGGAGACTCAGAGCCAGGACCACGGAACAAGAGGGAAATCAGCTGGCCACTCCCATGGCCAGACCGTCAGTGTCACCTCCGGAAATCAACATCAGGCAAACCGGCAGCAGGGATTCAGTTCTTCCCATCCCATCCTCGAGCTTCTTAATCTTAAAGAGGTGTTTCTAAATTTAGATTAATTGAGCATTTCTAAATGTATAGAGTTGTCTATATTATATGTGATACACAAAAAGCAATACATCATAATTATCCCTTTCCCTTTCTTCTTTTGG